ATTATTACAAATATAGATATAGTATTTTAATATGATCCGATAATTTAATATAATAATAAATTTATTTGTCGAAAATATACAATAATATAAATAAAATTATTTAATCATTCATCGATAAATTGATGTAGTCTCGTAAATTGTTTTATTAAATGACGAAGTAAAATATTTTTCCAAAATAAAAGTGTTTACTTTGATCTAAATCGTACTTTTAACAACCTTACATCATTTACTTATTAAAAAATAAAATTAAAACGTACATTTAAAATGAATATGCTCTTGTTATATTTGTGAAAAACATATAAATTTTTTATTAGCCATAATTTAATTTCTGTGATTCTTTAAAACGTGTAGAAACGAATTTAAAAATTATTATTAATAATAACAAAATTTTAATCACTGTTTAATATGATAAGTGATCATTAAATCCAATTTTTAATAAATATAACATTACGAATTTAAGAGGTTTTATTGCATCAACTACAGGTGTTATTGCTGATTTTTCTGTCATATTTACTTGATGTAGCTTGCAAACAGTTATTCATAGTAATCAAAAAAGATATGATTTGATTTATTGGATTTGGTTATTTTAAATCTGAGTAAAAAGACTGTAGAAAATTTAATGATATTATAAAGTTGATCGTAAAAATCGTTCAATAGTTCTGTTAAACTGAATAAAATTTCAATAAATAAATAATTAAAATATTTTATACATTTTATTTAGTTTATGTATTTTCGAATTTCAGTTTTAAATGTGACTAGAACGCTTTTATGTTTTAATCTAATATTTATTATGAGGACTGTCCAATACATCCATTTGAATTTGATGTTAGTTAGTTAGTTTGTTTGTTCGCTCCTGGGCCGTTTGACCAATTGCTTCGAAACTCGGCAGACGCGTTTATATAACCCCTAACTTCTATAATGTAATCCTACTCAAAATATCTTGGATTTCTGTAAAACGATTTCTTTCTATCTACATTATATTTGCTTATTTACAGGTAGCGCAACTAGCAAATCTATTAGCAAACTGTATCAAAATAATAAACTAAATATAATTCTTATATGAAAGGATATAATTTTAAAATATATGTTATATTTTATATGCGGCATTGATATAGCGTGGCTATTTCGCGCTATATCAATACAGAGACGGGTAGCATACAGCACTATCCTGCATGCAATAGAAAGTATTTCTCTGTGAAAAATCCGTAAGTATTTAATTTTCCACATCTAACAATTCGGGTTTTTTTTTATTTCTGAACATTATAATAAGTTCAGAAATAAAAAAAATCCGAATTTATACACTCTATTAGCTGAGTGGATAAAACCACCGAACATTGATAGTTAGTCGAATCCAAAAAATAAATTACTGTAATCTAAATATATAAAATTACTTGTCCTGACTGGCTGAATAACTGATTCATCATCGCCCAGAGCAAACCGCTGAACCTAAAGAGGTGAAATTTGGTAAACAGTTAGGGTACGTCATGAAAACGCGCACTAAGAAGGGATTTTTCGAAATTCTCCCTCGGGGAGGAGAGAAGAGGATTAAGGCTTAACCGGAAAAACGGCTTTTACTGTACTATTTTAGATGCGATTTTTCGTTTTCAACTATGTTTAATTTGATTGAGTCCTTAGGTGTATTAAATTGATAACATTTCAGACATTGTTATAAATATTTTTATTTATTTCGATTTTAAAAATGTTTGAACCGTTTTAAATTCGAATTTGTTATTGCATATTGGTTCGATTATAGAACGATTGTAAACGTTCCAGAAAATTGATCAAATTGAAAACATTTCGTTTGATTCTAGGCAATTCTCATCGGTAGGTGTTATTACTATGGTTGTTGAAATACTGAATATAAATGGGTTTTACTTGCAAAATCCTCGCGGGCAAAGCCGCGGGTAACAGCTAGTCTTATAATATAATCGAAATGGGTTTATAATAATAATAATAGGCGTAGAGCCCGAACGGTTAAGAGTTAGAAATTGAAATTTGGTACACAGTTAGGGTTCGACAATGTAGACACTAGCGAGTGAGAAGAGTTTGGTTAGTTATGGCAACGCAACACTTGGGCGATCTTCCTAGGGGACGCCTTTCGGGAGGTCTTTTTAAGGGAAACTGGCCCCTATTTAGGCGTTACAGACGTGGAAAAACCCGGAAAACTCCACGTGGCCAGCCCGTCCGAGCGAGACGACAACTCCCAGTGTTCAGGAAACGAAGACCGCTTGGCCACTGGTGGGCCGTGAGAAGAGGTGATGACGTTTTACGCTCTCTATTTCTCGCTATCATTTATTGACAAGGCTGTCTTGTTTATAAAATCATACTGCCCGATTTTCTTACAGCGTAGAGGTATGAAGGAGTACATGTCGAAAGTTAATATTTGGCACAGAATATTAGGTGCCCAAATCATTTGTGCATAAAAATCCAGACTCGTAGGTAGTCGGGGGACCGAGAATCCAGTCAAAATAAAATGCAAAATGGCAACCCTCTTCTACAAACAGGCAAAACAGCCACCTCACCCTACCGAAGTCGGGTAGGGGAGAGTACCACCCACAGTCATTCTAAGAAGTGAACTCTGACCTTAGGACTGAACACGTAGTTCTTTCGTATGTTAAATAAAATTTGTAATCTAATTTTGTAAATTTGGGAATGCTTCAAATATGACGTTAAAACGGTTTTATATTGTTACAAGTGGGTTTTTTTAAACATTATCTAGTATAGTAAAATCGTGGGATCGATAAAAATTTGACGTGTAAGGCAGAGGGCGCCACCTTCGCCCTTTGACCTCACTTTGCTGCTAAACTCTAACGAGGAGAGATACCTTTTTACTTCATTTAGTTAACTTTTCGATTCGACAGCCGTGCCGATCTTGGATTTATATAATATCTCGACACTATTGTAAATATCGCGTAGCCGATCTAAATTAAGTAAATTATTTGCCTGGATCATTTCTCAATTTTTACCAGCAGAACAAAAGACGTGGACTTCACGGACTAGGTAGGACGTGCCACGTACAGATTTTAGCCACGCCGCTAAAGACGTTATACTAGGGTTGTCATTACATCCGATGACATTAAAATCGAGTTAAACTGTATAGGCCTATTGTTTGTGCAAAATAAAAAAATAATTTCAGACAATGCAATAGCCACAATTATTTTTTTCAAAAAAGGGAAATTTTCGTTAGGCATCGACAAAAATTTAACCCGGGGGACACGCGACGGAAAGAAATTTCGACATGAATAGGTTAATTTCACCGAAAATGCATCGTGGACATGGCCGGCGAAGTCTGAACGATCGCGCTTAAAACCAGCGATGTCGAAGAAGATTGGAGAATGAGAATGAGACCCGCTTGAACGTCAAAGTGATGCCGCTTAGTAGTGAGTCTTCGAGACATAGTCTTGTCCCAAATACGGCTTTGCCGTTTTACTTGTTATAACTATACAGACGAGAGCGAGAAACGGAGAGCGTGAAACGTCATCATCATTAGGAGTTCTCTAACGGGATCCTGGTTGTACTTTTTAAACTGGGAATTATCTCGGAAAAATTCTTCTAGTCCTGGGAAATCCCGCAAATTTTTTAAAAGTTTACTTTTTTTTTTATTTTGTGTTAAGGTTAAGGAAATTTTGCAAATAGAAAGTATAATTAATTCATAAACTGTCCGAATACCCTTGTATTTATTAATTTTAAGCCTGTTTATTAGTTTTTTAAAATTTTTGCCTGTTATGCTTGTTTATCTATTTGTGGCAGGACCCTGAAAATTCTTTACTTGTCAGAACCTGTAATATCATGAATAATTGTGCTGATACTATCTTAATACTAACTGTTCTTTACAAAAAAAAAGAAGAAAAAAAAAAGAAAAAGTTATCAATATTGCATGATTTTTAAAAACTTGAAGTTGGCTTGTGGAACAGGATGTAAACGTTCGTTATTGTTAATAAATAATTCTCAGTGAGATAAGGTGTTTTTGAGTAGGTTAAGAAGCATCTAGCTGGGTATTAATTATTTTATGTTATAATAAAGCGTTTGTATTTTTGCAGCAGATTGTATAAATTATGTGGGAATAATGTTTTCGTAAATATGGCGTTTATAAAAAAATTATTGGACTGTAATTTGAAAAAAATGTAGACCTATAAATTTCGACTGTGTCTGTCCTTCCTCAATCTGGAGAAAAGAGTAAAATACATGAAAGTCGAGACGAGATGTAGAAAACTTTGAGGCAGGAGGGCCAAACTATTACAGTATATACAGTGGCGTACCGTGGTGTCAGCCGCCCGGGGCGGAGGAAAATTTCGGCTCCCCTTATTTAGGTATTTTAATTTAAAAGACCAAAATTCCGTTTTGTCACAGAACAAGCAATGAAAAATTCGGTGGTAGTGCAGCGACCTGTTTAAAATAGTTCTATTGGATATAATAGTTCTATTAAATATATGAACGCGAATGAAACGTACAAGCAAAAAAAAAAAATAAGGTCAACAGGTTTCGCAGGAACTCCTCGGATGAAAAAGTTACTAGTTCACCCGGCGAGCCGATTCCCGGACTGTCCGGACCATAGCACTATCTTAGGCGCGATGCAAGTATAGATTAGGATGTTTCAAATTTTTACAAGATATTATTATTATTCATTGTGGAATTTTGCTGCCCCCTAAAAAGTGCAGCCCGGGGCGGACCGCCCCTACCGCCCCCCTATGGCACGCCACTATGTAGGTTATAGAAGCTTCGGGTTCAGAATGATTTCAGGTTACTTAGATTTAAAATTCAAGGTAACAAGAAATTCGTAATACTTAATTATAACGCGAATTAATTGTGTGACTTAGCACACAATTAATTCGTTTAATCACGCATATTTTAAAAGGCAAGAATTTAAATTCATTCATGAAGTTAAAAATAGATTTAATAACAGAAATTAAAAGAAATGTGTTTTTGTTAATTTAATAGGAATCAAACAATACGGTAAAGCAAGTAGTAAAAAGAAAGGTGGTTTCGTGAAACTTTATTAGAAAATATTGGCAGGAGTGGAAGTAAGCATTAACCAATAACGATACATGCTGGTTACTCTGCGTAGCAGAGTTTGGGTTGAGTTATCACTCCTATATAAGAGCAACAAGAAGAACCATCCCTCATATACTTTCTCATATAAGGGTAAGTCTATACAGTGCCGTAACTAGGCAGGTGCAACAGGTGCACCCGCACAGGACCCACTTGGAAGGGGAGCCCAAAATGCATGTATTTGTTTTATTATTTTCCCAAACCTAATTAATTAAATTAACCCCTTAAGCCCATAATTGCAAATTGCAAATTCTTGCGCAGGGCACAGGAATGGCTAGTTACGGCACTGAGTTTATAGTTTAATTAGTATTCGATTATCACTTTCGACATCACTCAAAATTAAACTTCTGCATGTTTAAGATTTTTCAGCCAAATTTATTAGAAACATTTTAAATTTTTAAAAAAATATAATCTTACTACTTATGTAATTACAGCTCGTATCTAGTTTTTAGCTATATTCTTATTGTCTCGTAATTTATCTAATAATGGTTCCAGAAGAGGATTTATTAAGTACTTCTCATCATAAAACACCATGTGATAATTAAGATACGGGACTAAGTACGGAATTATTTTAAGCAAGAGGTGGTGTTAAGTTCGAAAGTAAGATCACTGCTGTGTTTAATACGCGGTGCAATAAACATATCGATAGTTTCCTGTAATCGGATCAGATATGACGCCTACATAATTGGCAAATCCCACGTATAGACCCTACAAGGGCAGTAGGTTGTTACCTGAGATTTGTTGAAGTGTTAGAGCTATATAATAGTTCTTTCTTCCTTTCTCTTTACAGAGACAAAATGTCTAAAGTTCGTAATACAAATAGTACTTTCAACGCATACGGAAGAAGTGCACCTTCCGATAGTTATGTCGATTATATTATTTATAGAAGAGAAATGTTAGATAGATTGAAAAGAGAATACGAAAGGAACCGAAATCGTGATAACGATTCAAATGATACTGGTGAGAAATTTTTCTGTTTTTATTAATTTGATGGATACAGAAATTTGACACTCAACAGGTTTAATTCATAAATCATATTTCTTTTTACAGCTGGTTCTAAAGTTATTGAAGTAGACAGTGTTGAATTGTATGCCAGACAAAACGCCGAAGTACACCACACTAAACGTTACGAAATCCTGAAAGTTAAAACTCCTTCACCTGTTTTAAGACGTGGCAGCCCTTTCTTCTTAGCTATCAGATTCAGAAGACAGTACGATTCTAACAGAGATTTAATCAAATTGGAATTTACTTTCGGTAACAGTCATTTAAATGTGATTCGACGTTTATAAAAATTTAAATAACACAAACAATTAATTTCTTACTTGTCAGGTCCAAAACCTAATTTGAGCAAAGGTACTTTAGTGCAACTCGTCTTCTCTAACAAAAAGGAATTTACTAAAAGTTCTCAACATTGGGATGTTCGTTTACACGAACAGAATGGAAACAACCTCTCTATGCAAGTGCAAGTCCCTCCCAGCATAAGTATTGGCGTATGGAGATTAAAAATTTTAACACAGGATTTCGAAAGAACTATTTCACCCGTCAGTTATTTGTGCGAGGAAAATATTTACTTCCTTTTCAATCCTTGGTGTCAAGGTAAGCGTAGTTTATGTAACTAATTTACAAAGATTTCACTGCATTTAAATATATAAAATTACAATAATACACCCGTTTTTATAAATACTTATTTAGAAATTTACGTAGTAAAATAGACCGAATTAACTTCTAACCCATTTTCATAACAATAAATTATATGGCGTAGTAAACACTAGTATTGTGTTTACTACGCCATGACACATGGTGAGTTTTCCAAAGACACATGGCAAGTTTTCCATCAAATTCTTTTATTAGTTGAGTCGATACGGTACATTGTTTTGTACTCGTTTCGGGCTTTGTCCTTCTTCAGTCAACTTGTATTTTCTCTTCATGTCTGTAATCCTGGTGTTGGCTTCTTTGCATTTTTGATTGATGAGTCTTGCCATTTCTATTTGTGTAGATTTGTTGATTTGTTTTTTGAAACCGGTTTCAAAAAACCAAAAATCAAAATAAAAAATGCAAACAAGCCAACACCAGGATTACAGACATGAAGAGAAAATACAAGTTGACTGAAAAGGGACAAAGCCCGAAACGAGTACAAAACAATTTATCGTATCGACTGAACTAATAAAGGAATTTGATGGGAAACTTCCCATATGTCTTTGGAATAGAACACAATACTAGTGTTTACTACGCCACATTATAAAACAGGACGGTTTCAAAAAACAAATAAACAATAAATTATTTCAAAAATCCTTTCTTCCTGAATTTAATCCAGTTTTTTGAATTAAATTCAGCGCCGAATATAAATTTCAACACTACTCATTTAACGCAAGCCTTTATAAATTTCCGCTTTTTTTATCTTCTATGTCAGCGTTCGGCAACCTTTCTCACCTCACAGACCATTAAAGTCACAATTTTGAATCCTGCGGACCATTATCATGAATTCTTTTAAACGATACAAAATCTGTAGAATAATGACCACAAAAGTTCAATTTTACTATATTAATATGAAACTCGAATGTTTAATTATAACAAATTAATGCAAGCCTAAACTTCATTGCTACTTGTTTGAAACAAGTTTATGGATTCTTCGCGCTTTTCCACGAAGAACGACAATCGCACCCACAATATTGTTTATTGTCCATTATTTATTGATAACAGTCACTTCGTTTTTGGTTTTAAATTCGAATAAAAAAATCACAATGAGTGTAAAAAGCAACTAATCATTTTGCATTTCTTTCGTAATTCTTCGCGTAACTTTCGGTTGATCAATGTTCAAATTTCTCCAGGGACCACCCAAATTTTCTCGAGGACCATCAATGGTCCGCGGACCACCGATTGCCGACCGTTGGTCTACGTGGCCACCAAATGAGTTTTTTATGTAGTCTTTTACTTTTTCATAGATGACCCAGTATATATGGAAGATGAAAACTTTAAAAAGGAATATGTATTAAATGACACTGGAAAGATCTTCGTTGGTTCGCACTCTAATCCAAGAGGAAGAAGATGGATTTATGGACAGGTAGTCATTTATCCCGAATTATACTATTATTAATTCACTTTATACCATTAAATAATGAAAAATGTTTACAGTTTACAGATTCTGTATTGCCAGCTTGCATGTTTCTACTCGAATTAACAAATTTGGATTATACAGCAAGATCAAACCCGATAAAAGTCGTTCGTGCAGTTTCCGCCATTGTAAGTGTGTGTGTGTATTTAAAAGACCTGTCCACGCCACAAAATATTGTTTAACTCCTAATTATTGTACAGGTTAATAATAATGACGATAACGGAGTATTAATCGGAAACTGGTCTGGTAAATACGAAGACGGCACTGCACCGTGGATGTGGACTGGAAGCGCCGCCATCTTGGAAGAGTATATAAAAAGCAAAGGAAGGGCCGTACGATACGGACAGTGTTGGGTATTTGCTGGAGTTACAACAACTGGTATGTTATCTTTAATAAGTATAAATGCCCCCTTAACAGTTTACTTACAAAAAATTGTATCGTTATCTAGTGTGTCGCGCTTTGGGTATTCCATGTCGAACTGTTACAAATTATGTTTCTGCCCACGATTCTGACGAAACTATGACTATTGATAATTTTTATGAGAAAAATGGAGAAAAAATAGAAACAAGTGATTCAATTTGGTTAGTTTCTTCTACGTTATTTTTTAAAGTAATAATCTTTTTGCAAGTTGAGAGAGTCTAATATACATTCCGAGAACAGATGAATGTTTTCAACTAATTTATCAATCAACTACTCTATTTATCGTAAAGAGACTGTAAAATTCTGCACTCCGAAACTGTTTGTTTAAGAATTTTCGGAAATTTTGGTTTTAACAGTTAACAGCTTTTATAACTAATTATAAAATAATTTGATACGCTTAATATTCTAAAATTTAATTAATTTCGTAGGAATTTCCACGTTTGGAATGATTGTTGGATGGCAAGACCCGATCTTCCATCCGGTTATGGAGGCTGGCAAGCTATCGATGCTACGCCACAAGAAAGAAGCGAAGGTGAATTTAATATATTTTAAAATTATTTTATCGAATTTCACTTATAAAGTGTTAAACATATAATACAGTCGACCCCCCTATAATTCGGTAGATACGTTCCGTTTTATAAGAATTTTGCGTTGTAGGAATACTTAAATACATGAGCCAATCACAGCCCTGCACGTGTGTAGTTTACGGACTACGGCTGTTTGAAAAGTTTTCTTCCATAAAATTAATCGATTCTAGACTAATTTCAATCAACATTTCCAAAACACGTATAATTTCTTGGGAATAATCCATATAAACTATGCTATAAACAAAAAATTTTAGGATTACTTACCGAGTGTGCACCGTTCGACCACGCCATTGCTTAAACTTGTTTTCGTCGCGGAGCAGCGCACCAAACGGTGGGCGCGTTTTCTGATAAGTGTGAGATTAGCCGGGGGTACTAATCCGAGGAGGATTGTTTGTACCACTTATTCGGCACCCAGTTGGTAAAACTAGTTCTCCAGGTTTCAGATCGAGAGATCCGATCCTAAAAGTTCCTATAGGAGGGCTTTTAATAATGATCCAAATCGCGAGATTCGGATCTACGTCAGGATTCCTTGACACCAGTTAATCAATCTTATTATANAATATATTTTAAAATTATTTTATCGAATTTCACTTATAAAGTGTTAAACATATAATACAGTCGACCCCCCTATAATTCGGTAGATACGTTTCGTTTTATAAGAATTTTGCGTTGTAGTAATACTTAAATACATGAGCCAATCACAGCCCTGCACGTGTGTAGTTTACGGACTACGGCTGTTTGAAAAGTTTTCTTCCATAAAATTAATCGATTCTAGACTAATTTCAATCAACATTTCCAAAACACGTATAATTTCTTGGGAATAATCCATATAAACTATGCTATAAACAAAAAATTTTAGGATTACTTACCGAGTGTGCACCGTTCGACCACGCCATTGCTTAAGCTTGTTTTCGTCGCGGAGCAGCGCACCAAACGGTGGGCGCGTTTTCTGATAAGTTATTTTTATGCAAAAATTCGTTGAACTTTGGAGACATCATTAATAGAAATAATTTTTATGATCGTTGAATAAGAAATGTTTTTGTCACAAGAAATGTATAAAATTACAGTAATGGTATTTGCCTTACAGTACCTAATTTAGGCCTATACACAGTCAGTGGCGTAGCGTGAATGTCAGCCGCCCGGGACAAAAAAAATTTCGCCGTCCCCTTATTTAGGTNGACCGTTGAATAAGAAATGTTTTTGTCACAAGAAATGTATAAAATTACAGTAATGGTATTTGCCTTACAGTACCTAATTTAGGCCTATACACAGTCAGTGGCGTAGCGTGAATGTCAGCCGCCCGGGACAAAAAAAATTTCGCCGTCCCCTTATTTAGGTATCTGAATTTAAAACACTAAAATTCAGTTTCGTCACAGTAAGTAAGTAATGAAAAATTCCGTGCTAGTGTTGCCACCTTTTTAAAATCGCTGACCCGGACGGCAGGTGAGGTTTGTTCGAACAGAAGTTCCTGACGCATGCGTATATCATTTTGCAATGCAAAGAATAATTTGCAGTGCATGCTGGTTCTAAATCAGTTACAGTTAGCGACTAGGGAGACTTGGATAGGAGTAACGCAAGTGACCTAGCTCTATTGGATATTGAAGGTGTATATGATTACGAATGAATCGTACAAGTAAAAATAAAAAAAAAAGGTCGATAGGTTGCGCACGATATCTCCGGACGGCGAGTCGGATAATAACACTATTCCGTGCTCATTTCAATCGGTCCGCATCGTAGGTGGACGAAGATATGAAATAAAATCTGCCCCATAAAACGTAATTTTGCCACCCCTAAAAAGGCCGCCCCTGCCGCCCCCTACGCTACGCTACTGTATACAGTACAAACAATAGTAAACTCAACTTACCCTGCTAAACTCTCCGTAGCGTGTAAGTAGTTCGGCTGCTCGTCCACTATTGGTCCAGATTCGACCAATCCTGTCGCGACACGAGTCGGCGATGACGTTTTACCGCATTTTATGAGTGTTTTAGCGTCTTTATACGAATACGGTCGCAATTTTTTCGCCGCGATATACGAATCCGCATTATATGAACCCGCGTTATAGTGGGGTCTACCGTACTTGGATGATTTACGATTAGAATGTTAAATAAAATATGTTTATTTTTAACTCAGGAGTTTATCGTGCTGGCCCATCTTCGCTCGTTGCCATACGTCGTGGAGAAATTGGCTATATGTTTGACACTCCATTTATATTTTCTGAAGTAAATGCTGATATTATAAACTGGCAGAGAGATGAAACTTCAGATCTTGGTTGGAAAAAAATGGCAATTAATAAATATCAGTAAGCAGTAAATTATATAGGCTATATTAATAACAACTCTAGATATCTTGCTTTATAAATAAATTCAACGTGTTTTTTAATATTATAGCGTTGGAAAGTTACTTGCGACAAAGTCAGTCGGAATCGATGATACTCGAGGAGATAAAGATTTACAAAATATAACTGATGAATATAAAAGAAAAGAAGGTAAAATTATGTCCATTTTCGATTTTAAAGCTAAGAATTTAAAGCTAAGATTTTATTCTTTTAGAAATTTAAATAAAAAATAAGAAATTTTTGTAATTTCTAGGAACTATCGAGGAAAGAATGACCGTCAGAAATGCTATTAGATGCGGAGGATTAAATTTCATATACGATATACCATCCGTGGAGAAAGAAGACGTCATTCTGGATCTTCTCGACATTGAACAAGTGATGATAGGTGAACCATTTATGGTAACAGTCACGCTGGAGAATAAAAGTGATGAGCAAAGAACAGTTTCGGCTGTTTTATCGGCCAGTAGTGTTTACTACACCGGTATAGTAGCCGCTAAAATTAAGAGAGAAAATGTCGAATTTATGCTGAAACCAAAACAAAGTATGTGATGTTATTTTATATTTAATCGTCGAACGTTTTCTTGATTTAACAAAATATACTCGAATACTTGCAGAGGAAGTCCTCCAAATAAAAGTAACTTCTGACGAATACTACGATAAGTTAGTAGATTACTCTATGATAAAGATATATGCCGTTGCAACAGTTAAGGAAACCAAACAAACATGGTCTGAAGAGGATGATTTTCAAGTGATCAAACCTTCTGTCGATTTAGAAGTAGGTTCTCGTTGACTACGTAATAATCTGAATTTATTATTTATATTATTATTTATTTACATAAACTATGTTAATTATTTTATGATAACAGACACGCTTACGTCGTATGACCCTAATCATTAATTCATCAAACTTTAACTCAATATACATTAAAATAATTCATATACTGTAATTATCGAAAAATTTGTCTTAAGAATTTATAGCAAACATCTATAAGAATTTTAAACTTTATTAACAGATTGAAGGAACTCCAAAAGTAAACCAACAATTCGGCTTGAAAATGAGTTTTACAAATCCCTTAGACAGAAAATTGACTGATTGCACAGTTTCTATCGAATGCCCAGGAGTTACCATGTCCTATCGTTTCGATGTCAGGTATTTAGTGAATAATATACGTTTTCCTTAATTTCTTTTTTATTGTCTGTGTTCATATTTTAATATTTTTATTGTATTATTTTATAGAGACGTGAAACCCAAAGAAACATTTGTTTATCGCGAGCGCCTGAAACCCCAGACAGAAGGAAGCACCAAGCTGGCTTTGGTGTTTAATTCGCGACAGTTGAACGAATTAACTGGATCTATCGAATTGGATGTCGAAACTTAAACTGTTCACGTTTATTATATTTATAAATCTTATCGTTATTATTAACTGCAGCATTCTATTTTTATTTTATATATTTTTTTTATTTATTACGCATACTGGATACACTCCTTGATGCGGGGAGCAAAACCATCTACCAAAAAAAGGAAAAAAAAAAAAACAAAACACTTAGATACAATAAACAAAAAGCACAAGCAAAATTATACAATAATAATTTATATAAATAACAATTTAGATATAAATTAAAGAATTGAAAATCAAATGTAATAATTAATTAAAGTTAAAGTTTGGGAGCATCTGTCAATAAAATACAAAAAAAACAATAAATAAAAACAACCAAAAATAAGCAAACAGCTTACTTATGAAAAAGAAATAAGTTAATAACGAAGAGACAGCACTGACAGATGCTCCCAAACAACATTAGCAACAAGGCTAAATTTATAGTAGAGGAATCACGCCCCTAAAACAAAAGATCAACAGATTTTTTTAGAAAACAAAACACTTTAAATTGCTAACATTGTACCGATAAAATTTTAAGAAATAAAGACCTGGTAAGGACTTCACACCCAAAAACTTTTTCACGTAGCACTTTAAGACGCTCACATTTAGCCAAAATATGCCAGGCATCCACAATTTCTTTCTCAACACAAAAGTCACATGATTCTCTCGAATAATTATTTAAAAAATTTAATGAATTACACCTAGTCTGTATAAATAAAGACAAAATATTAAGGGAAACGTCTTGATTATATAAAGAATTATCAAAAAAAGATACATTCAAATTCTTATACCAACAATTATATATGCTATTATTTATTTTTTCATTTATATTGTATAAAAAATTATCAAAAATGTTAACAAGGAGAAGAGACCAGTCCATTAAATTCAAATCATCATTAATAAGATTAATACCATGATTATTACAGGAATCAATAAAATAACGTGTCCAATCTATAAACTTTTTACCAAGTATAAATTTCAGGCAAACCTTACTCAGACGATAATCATCAAGATTAGAAATTCTAGTAATCTAATTTCTTATCCTTCTAAATATTATAAATTTTATAGGAGTCAAGGCACATTCCATCATAATTAAATAACCCGGTATATAACGCGGTAAATAAAATAAGGATTTTTAATGAATTCAGTCTGTATACCATCGCCATTGCCCAAGTTAAAACCCTAAATCTCTGAAGCATATAATAAATAGGGCAGCACCACAGTTTTCAATAAACGTAAACGTAAATAATCAGTCAGATTACGTAATTTGGCAGACCTCCCTAACTGGATAATTTTATTCATCAATAATCTAGCAGAGTTCTCTTATTAATGCAATGCATACGAAATAAACCATTAGACGAAAATGTAACACCCAAATATTTGTAATTAGAGAAAACTTGAATTGGAGAACCCTTAAACCACCATTTATCTGCCCTCGCACGCTTACCTCCTCTTCGAAAAACAATAATCTTAGACTTATTCAAATTCAATTTCAAATCATTTTCATCTAAATAAATAGCCAATTTATGAATTAATCTTTGAAGTCCAACCACAGAATCAGATAAAATTACAATATCATCTGCGTAAGCCAGTATTTTAATTTGGAAACCATCTATTTCTATGCCATCACAGAAGAATTAATAATATCAAAGAGATCGTTCAAAAAAAATACTAAACAAGATTGGGCTCGAAATACAGCCCTGCTTAACACCAGTCTTAGAAAACATTACTGGCGAACAATTACCCCCAACTCTTACCATAAGCGAAGAATTTTCATACAAAGCAACAAGTAAAGATATAACTGAAACCATAATGCAACATCTTTGACCATAACAAATTCCTACAGACTCTACAGACGATAAATCAACAAAAAATGCGTATACCTTCCTCCGTTTCCGTAAAAAAGTTTTCTGAATAACCGTGTACAAAACAAAAATATTATCCAATGTGGAATAACTAGCCCGGAATCATGCCTGATTTTCATGCAATATATTTTTAACTTCTAACCATCGAGTCAGTCTTCTATACAAAATAGTACAAAACAATTTCGAAACACAAGATGATAACCAGATGCCTCTATAATTACCAGGAACATCCTTCCTACCATTCTTAAAAATCGGAATTAAAGTACTCATCTTCCAAGACTCCGGTATTATTCCAGTATCAAAAATCTTTAAGAAAAGACTCAAAAGATGTGATCTCAACGTCTCAAAATTCCAGAATTTCATTGGGATACCGTCAAAACCTAGGGGCTTTATTTGGGTTATACCTCCTCAAAGCATCATTAAGCTCACTCATAGATAATTCATGGTCCAAAAGTTCATCATACCAATTCCTACAATAATTAAAAATCGAAATATCTGAAAAATAAGGGTCCAAAGAACCAAATAAATTAAAAAAGTGATGAAACAAATCATCAATAGGAATAAAGCTGAAATTACAAGACAGCCTGCTTAACATGCCAGAAATACTGTAATTCCAAAAAAGTTGTTATCTTTCCTAAAACAATTCTGAATTTTACCAGCAAATAATATTTTTTTTTTCGCAATGCGAAACCGCTTCGCCAAACTTCGTAACATAACAAAACGTTATCGATCATTAAAATCATTACTCTTCCTAAAAGATCTCCAGGCTCTATTCCTANGATAACCAGATGCCTCTATAATTACCAGGAACATCCTTCCTACCATTCTTAAAAATCGGAATTAAAGTACAGTACTCATCTTCCAAGACTCCGGTATTATCCCAGTATCAAAAATCTTTAGGAAAAGACTTAAAAGATGTGGTCTCAACGTCTCAAAATTCCAGAATTCCATTGGGATACGGTCAAAACCGGGGGCTTTATTTGGCTTATACCTCCTCAAAGCATCATTAAGCTCACTCAGAAAATTCATGGTCCAAAAGTTCATTATACCAATTCCTACAATAATTAAAAATCGAAATATCTGCAAAATAAGGGTCCAAAGAACCAAATAAATTAAAAAAGTGATGAAACCAATCATCAATAGGAATAAAGCCGAAATTACAAGACTTAGCCTGCTTAACATGCCAGAAATACTGTAATTCCAAAAAAGTCTGTTATCTTTTCTAAAACAATTCTGAATTTTACCAGCAAATAATATTTTTTTTTTCGCAATGCGAAACCGCTTCGCCAAACTTCGTAACATAACAAAACGTTATCGATCATTAAAATCATTACTCTTCCTAAAAGATCTCCAGGCTCTATTCCTTGCACTAATTAACATTCTACAGTCCGAATCGAACCATGAAAAAGAATTCTTATGTTTCCTGATATTAAATCCCCACTTACAAGCCAAACTAAAAAGACAATTACTCAGGTCTTCCATTGAATCAAACTTATTCGAGGTACTGTACATATTTCCTTAATAGGCAACCTTAATTCATCCTTTCTAGATTCGTCCCAAAACAATCTATTAATCTTCTGCCTCTTTTCTAAAGAGATCAATCTATCATTGCCACAGGCCAGTCGTAAAATGAAGGGGTTATGATCGGAATCTAAACACTGATCCATCGTGAGAGAGAGAACTTCTTTCCAAATTAACGGAGAAACTATGGTCAAATCAATAACAGAACAGCCACGATTAGAGATGAAAAAATTCACCTGCTTCATCACCTAAACATCTCCCGTTAACAATAATCATATCCAAATCATCACATAAATGAAGCAACTTTCTACCACAAGAGTCAATCACCGAGTCTTTCGAATTCCTACGCAAAGGACAAACAATACCAAAGGAATTGAAAAATGCATCAGAAATTATATTTTCCAATCCAATCCTAGCGTTAAAATCACCGGCAATTAATACATTCCTATTATCTAATATCAAACCAGTTAAAGTATCAAAAATAGACTGCCAGTCATTTTCCCGAAAATAAACAAAACATACCAAAATATTACCAAGTTCGGCACCAAATTTGACAAGTATTAGAAAAGCATCTTGATAAACAACAACACAGGGAAAAGAGGATCTTATTGCTGCACAGTAACGACCTTTCGCGTGTAACTTAAAAGCCTTTCCAAAATGGAGATTGTAACTTTGCAAACAATCAGTTACGTCCGAATTTCTATTAGTAGAACCATGCCAGAAAGAAATACAATATCATATTGCAATAAATACTTCCAAAAAAACTTAGGTTTATTAAATAAACCATCACAATTCCAAATCAGAAATGAAGTATCCCTATCCGGTAGTTGCTAGGATGAAACAGGCTTAACCTGGTCACAATCAACATCGTAAAAGTACTTCTTTCCATCAATAATAATTTTATCATAAACTATTTTTACCATTCGCGCTCCAGAAAGCTTTGATTGTGTACCGAAATCCCGAAGCTTAAATCTAATATTTTTCTAATATTTAATAAATGATGACTTCTCTCCTAGAGTGAAAACTCTAGGAGAGAAGTCATCATTTACATAAACCCCATCCGGTTTTAACTTCAGAACTCGTTTCTTAAAGTACATTTTTTTCATAATAATTAACAAAAGTACAAATAATTAATCTAGGGGAATTGGCTTTTTTCTTTCCCACTCTCATTGCCATACCGATTTTAATGTCGGGCATCTGTAAAACACGTGAAGCAAATTCAATTATTTTCTCTTTAATTTCTAGAGAAGATTCATCCCGAACCTCCTCCAAACCGGAAATGACAACGTTATTTATCGTCGTTGGTTATTCAAAAAATCAAGTTCACGAGTAATATCGTTAAACTTTTTCGTAACATTACTTGATCACTTAAACTACAGTTTTTATCAGCCAATATACCCTCTTCGAGGTTAAAATCTCCTTCCAGAAGATATGCAAATTCTTCCTCCTTGCAACTCTTCAAAGATTTCTTTTTACTACTAGTCTCTGCTTCCCAGAAGCTCGGTGAATACGACTTTCTTTTCGGATTAACTGCCATAATAATAAAGACTTACCTATAAAAAAGAAATAAGTTAATAACGAAGATACAGCACTGACAGATGCTCCCCCAGCATTCTATTTAAAATATATTTATTATTAAAAGATTTT